CGATGGATTTGTATGCATTAGTATCATTGGGCAACTGCCGCAGCTCCTCCAAGGTTAGGAAAGCTCGCTTCTTTTCACCTTCCTTGTTACGCATCTGGTTCTGCACCTGAAGACCAAAGGTAAAAAGAAACTTGAATTTCAAATTATCTAGGAATTCCTAGTATGAGCATATAACTTCGAGGAGCAAAATTTTAATGTATTCCTTTCATTTTAGCTTTTATCATTTTCTTATATTTCAGGGCCTATAAATAAATAAAAATAATAGCATTTCACAATTTAGATATAGTTATTCTCAGTAAGAATTGATAATGGCCAGAAATAAGCATGCAAGCTGTAATTAAGGAAGAACGAACTATGCCTTGAGTTTCACTTATCGATAGCATAGTACTGGTGCAATAACCAACGCACTCATAACCCACAGTTTTTTTTTTTTTAACTCAAGCAAAACAAAAAACTGTTGAACTAGAAGTACTTTACACGTACATCATAAATAATTCAATTTTTGAAAATACTGGTATCAATACTCCAAATATGTAAAAAAATATATGGTATGTTAATTTATTGACCTGACGTTAGAATATAAAACAGTGCTGTATAGATGTAAATTATGTTAGAACAAAGAGCTATATGGGGTCAGCAAATTTGCAACGTGTCTTTTTGTGTTCCTTATTTTGAGAATTGTTGTTCAGTTGTCCAGAAAGAATTTTTGGACCCTAGAGTGAAACCTCTCCGTAGTAGGAGAATGAGCAAGGAAATGAAAAGTGATATTGGTAAAGACAAATGACAGAAGAATCAAGATTCAAAACTTCCACATCATGAAAGAAAAAGGAACAGGTTTGATTATATACAACAGGGTACGGACTTCATTAACTTATCGGTCAGGTCATTGATCATTCTCCCAGAATAGATTGGAACTATCAACAGCAAGGAAATCACAAATGGAAGAATTGTGAAAAACAAAAAACCCAACAATGACAGGGGTATGTCTCAAGAAAGGTCTTCTCAACCCCACGCAACCTCCCAAAATCGTATTTTCGAGCCATTAACCAATTCAGAGAAAATAGTGGTCTAACAGACAAATACGCTTGCAAAATAAAATTCAAAGGAATTGGATAAGTCATATTTACTGAATTGTCGGAATTCCAACTGTTATGATTTTTGTACTTGTTCAAATTAACTAGTGCCCTGAAGCGTTCCAATTAGCTGCCGTGTCAATGGTAGCTAAGCCTAACTATTCGAGGTCTGAATGATAGTTAATGGGTGGTACTCGATGAGGTGTGGTTCTAACTTGGTATGATCACCATCAAACTTATCATTCATCCCCCATGCAGTGCAATTGCCACAATTTTGTTTTTAAATCGGCTCGGTTTGGTACCATGGTTGGGATATTTTTTAAAATGGATCAACACCTAGGCTTAACCAGATATGTTAGGTCGTCATAGAACCCCAGAACCAGAAACTCAAGGAAAAATCATATGCTAAAACAGTTTCGAACCGATTTCTATACCCCATACGAGATTGAAAAATTTCGAAAGTAACACAGATTTCACCTGCTTCAGCTTCGCGGTAGTCTCGATCATGCGACCTTGAATTTCGAGGAAAGCCTGTACACAACCAACCGGTATAAAAGGTCAGGTTAGGCATTCGGACCACGCCAAAAAACGTATTAGCTAGTGCAGGAAGATTAGCGTATTATGACAACATGACTTGGTCCTTACAGTTCTATTGCCTTCGTCTGCCATCTTCCCCTCTTTAGACCTCAGACAGAAAATTCCACACTTCAGTGGCTATGTACGAGTTTCTAGGTCAAATCCCATGTAACTTGCAAGATCGCAGAATCGGGGGAGATAGTACGACTTTGTGAGGTCGGCCACCTAGAGGAGTGTGGGACTGCGGCCTGACTTGGCTTGGGCTGAATGGTTCAGGCTCAAGCCTGTGATCCCAAATAAGTTTGCCAAACAGTGTTTGGTAATTCCCACATATTTTATTAAAAAAATTAAAATTAAGTCATGATGCTGTCAATAATCACAAAAAGTCACAAGTTCAAATCCCATTAATGTATAAAAGAAATAAATTCTCTTCAAAAATAAAATTCAAACTCTAAATTACAGAAAAATACACGCACAAAATTCTGATTTTAAGGTATACAAAAATAAATTCATTTCAAAATAATTCCTCAGGCAAATTTTAATCCAACGAGTTGGCAGGAATGATTTCTTATACAACTTAAGCTGTTTCTTTTGCCTCGATTCATATATTAGGCTGGTTTGGGTCTTGCTAAGTTTAATTTTTAATCTGAAAAATCAAAATTGATTTGAACTGAAAAAAATCATAATGTAAATAAAAACTGTTATCCAATTTTTACTTGATTAACTTGTGTTGACAAAAACATAACGGTATTAATCTGGAAAATCATATATATCCGATTTTAATTACCTGTCCACACTAGTCAAAAAATCATATATAATGTGCAAATTTTGCCTATCAAGAATTAAAGGTGGGATGGAACGAAGTATATTTGCTTATATTCATTCATCTTAGAAGAGTAAATTAAAGTTTTTTCTTTACCCTCCTACAGCATTCAACAGAGTAGGAAACATGGGTTACTTCAGTTCAATCTTTGGAAAGTTTGAGAAAAGAAGAAGAATTATGTTTAAACAGGGTTTATTACAGGGCTAGTCTTTTTAAATTTAACTTATTCTTAAAGATTCTAAATCATAAGCCCGACTCTAGATTTAAATGAGTTTAATTAAATAGGTTAGCTTGACAGGTTCATCCTGTATTCCCCACTATATCTAGCAATGAGTGCCCAAATGCCTAATGATTATACAATCACATTAAGAGAACCAATAAGGTTGTGGAATTAGTCAATATCTTGAAGCTCAAGCAAGTGTTTGGAACACCTAAAAGTGTTTTTATGCAAATTGAGACAAACTCTTTCACATTTATTTCGTATATCATAAAATCACTTTTAAAACTATGGTTTGATTTCCACCAAAACACCATAAAAGATGCATACCAAACAAGTAAGAATTTAGTAAAAGAGTCATCACAAGCAAGCAAAGCTTCTCCCTCGGACCTTGGAGATGAAATTGTAGATCATTTAAAGCACTACCCCAAGTACATGGAATGCATCCATGCTCTAAATTGGCCACGCCAACCGTTATTCCACAACAAGCGCCACTTGAGACACTCTTTTGAGTTGTGACTAATTATATTAAAAAGAAGCGTTTAAAATGCCATCTGTTAGCAATTGAAGATACGCATGTGAGGACAAATTTCAGCACAAATTAATGCCCACTAATTAATTAATGCACCCATCAAACACTCCGAAAGTTGCTCTTTTTTTTTCTTTTGGTTTTTTGCCAACGACTCCAACAGTTGCCCAAAAGCTAATTAACCCAACACACTGATGTACATATGATTTTTGAAATACTACACACTACCAACCAAGCAATTGATCGATCATTTAAACAAAATGATACTTCCACTTAACATTTTCTCACGTTTACCATATTGATGCAGTATTTCTTGTTTAAACCGTAATTACGACAAGGTCATTTTATGCAACAAACAATTAATTACATAAATGTCTGCCTTTTTGTGTTATCTCGTCTTTTATCACTTTCTCTGCATAATATTTTAAAAAACATGATTTTATTTAAAATGACAATATGGGATAATAGAGTTGGAGTCCACTGAGACAAAAATGAACATCTCTTTCTTATATTCAATTGGCGAAGGATCCTATGCAAGATACTTTGTGAGCACCTACGTGAAGATATTACCAAATGCTCATCATAAAGAGAAAAATTTCATTGGCAACTTATTGAGAAGCAACAAAGGTGGAAAAAGTTAAACTAACTAAACTATTGAAAAGGCAAAGGAGGGTATAACTCCTAAGAGAATATAAATGTTGAAAAAATGATCCCTAACTAATAGTTTGTATTGAGGATAATTTTGATATTTTATAAAAAAAATCTAGTTTTTAAAATTTTATTAATTTATGTAAAATTATCAGGAAAAATAGCAAATAAAGACCCTAAAAATATAAAATTTCAATTTAGATTCTTAAATTCACAAAATTGCAACCAAGACTGACTAGGTCTAAATACAAAAGGTTAAGGTGCATCTAGCACCTCAAAATATTTTCTCGGGTACATCTAGCACTCTAAAGTATTTTTAGGTGCATCGAGTACCCCAAAATATTTTTTAGAGGCACCCAGCACCCCGAATTATTTTTTTTACCTTGATACTGGATGCACCAAAAAATATTTTTAGGTGCTAGATGCATATAAAAAAAATATTTTGAGATGTTGGGTGCACTAAAAAATATTTTACGGTATTGAACGCACCTAAAAAAATACTTCAGGGTATTGGACGCACTAAAAATACCTCAGGATACTGGATGTTCCTGAGAAAATGCTTCGGAGTGCTGGATACACCTTAACCCAAATATGAATTATGAGATATTATGCAAAGACCAAATTGCCCTCCTATTATTTGGAATATTTAACTCATTATTTAGAATACTCAACTTGTAATTTTCAAATATCCAAGTTGAAATTTTTAGGGTCTTTATTTGTAATTTTTTTCAAATTATTATTGAGTATTTATAATAAAAGATTAGAGAGCCGTGGCTCTAAAAGAAGGAATAGGGCGCGAAGACAAAGACGAAGTCGGAGAACCCTAAGCTGTGGCGTATCTTAATATACACCCTTCTCAACGAAGAACAAAGAGCATAGACATGCCTCGTTTCTACCGTATGTGCTTGCCAATCACTTTTGGAAATCTCTCCGTGCCTCCATCTATGTCATCGTTCACTCTCATATATTTTTAAAACAATTACAACCCACTCTCTTCCTTCAAGACCCTTTCTCTCTCTCTCTCTCTCTCTTTCTATATATATATATATATGTAGTCCCTCCAATAATAAACATTAAGCAGTAGTGAGTGTTTTTAACTGGTAATAAGTTTTAGTTTCAAGTTCTTCCATATCCATGGCCGCTGCGACGAGTTTTCCCACAGTTGACAAGTGCGCTTCCATAGGACGAGAGAAGCACACTGTGGTGGCGGACATGGACGGAACATTACTCCGAGGAAGAAGCTCCTTTCCGTATTTTGCGCTCGTGGCGTTTGAGGTTGGTGGCGTGTTGAGGCTTCTCTTCTATGTCTTGCTGGCTCCCATTGCTGGCCTTCTCTACTACTTTGTGTCTGAGTCCGCCGGCATCCAAGTCCTCATCTTCGCCTCCATGGCCGGAATGAAGGTGTCAAGCATCCAGTCGGTGGCGCGTGCGGTGCTGCCCAAGTTCTACGCCGGTGACCTCCACCCGGAGAGCTGGCGCGTGTTCTCTTCATGTGGTAAACGGTGCGTACTGACGGCGAACCCGAGGATAATGGTGGAGCCGTTTCTGAAGGAATTCTTGGGGGCCGACATGGTGTTGGGGACGGAGATAGCGACGTATAAACGAAGGGCCACAGGTTTGGTTTCAAAAGCAGGGATACTTGTGGGGAAGAAGAAAGCTGGAGCGTTAAAGAAAGCTTTTGCCGATGAACAGCCAGAAATTGGACTTGGTGATAGATCAACCGATGCTCCTTTCATGGCTTTGTGCAAGGTACGTAGCATATACACCAGCAGACATGAAAACACACACACGCACGCACGCACACGTCTTCAAAAAAATCAATAGAGTAAAGATCAAAAGCGAAAATAAAGAAGGGAGAAAGGCAGGAGAAGAAAAACTGAAAGTTAATAATTCTCAAATTAAGTTTGTTTCTTACATTTTAACGTTAGATTTTGACTAGACTCAAGTTGAAAATAACAATATATTTTTATAAGAATTCCTTATATATTAGAGATTTAGTAATTTTCAGGTTTTTTTTTTCCTGTTGTTCCCTCACTAATGAAAGTAAAAAAAAATTTTATGGGTATACAGTGAACACAAACAAATTAAAGATACCATTAATATTAGGGAAAATTGAGAGATTGAATAACTTTCTACGACCTTTTAATTTTTAAATTCTTTTTACAAATATTAAAACATATAAGTTCATGTAAATTTTTTTTTTTTTTGAAAAAACAAGGACACAACATCATGATCTTAGTGAGCACATGCATCTAGTAATAAAGTTAAGATATATTCTTTTGAGAAAAAAAAAAGTTATCAAAATTCTGCAAAAACCTTTGGTACGGTCAACATAAAGGTTTATTATTTGGTTCTTTATAGTAAATCGACTAAATTCATTCAAATATGAAATATATAAATTATGTACTTGTACATTTAAATTTGTTTTTTTTGGGGGGAAAATGGGATATACTTGAAAAATATGTTCAAGTTTTCTTTTATGGTGAGTCATGTTAATTATATATAGATATAATACTACATATAACTCATCACTTCCATTCTGTTTCTGAAGAATAAATACTTGGCAAATCACATTGCTTTTTGATAATTAAGAATTTCTTATTTTTATGATAATTTAATTTAATATAAAAAAGCTGTTTGATTTACGGCGATGCACGGACGACCTGTAGGAGGGATACATCGTGCCACCGAGACCGGAAGTGAAAGCCGTAGCAAGAGACAAGCTTCCGAAACCCATCATCTTCCACGACGGTCGTCTCGTCCAGAAACCCACACCACTCTTGGCTTTGCTCACAATCCTGTGGATCCCCATCGGCTTCCCTTTGGCCGTCCTCCGCATCGCCGCCGGAGCACTCCTGCCGATGCACTTGGTCTACTATGCCTTCTGGGCACTTGGCGTACGTGTGAAGGTCAAGGGCACACCGCCGCCGCCGGTGAAGAAACATCATGGTCAATCCGGAGTCCTCTTTATATGCTCTCACAGAACGCTACTTGACCCTATCTTTCTCTCCACCGCCCTTGGTCGCCCCATCCCCGCCGTCACCTACTCCGTCTCCCGCCTCTCTGAGATCATCTCCCCGATCAAGACCGTCCGTCTGAGCCGTGACCGGGCCACCGATGCGGCCATGATAAAGAAGCTCTTGGAGGAAGGCGACTTGGCCATATGCCCCGAAGGGACAACTTGTAGGGAGCCATTTCTTCTGAGGTTCTCGGCTCTGTTCGCTGAACTGACCGACGAGCTCATGCCGGTGGCCATGGTGAACCGGATGAGCATGTTTCATGGAACGACGGCGAGAGGGTGGAAAGGGATGGATCCATTTTACTTCTTCATGAACCCTAGCCCAGCTTATGAGGTAACGTTCTTAAACAAGTTGCCAAAAGAGCTGACTTGTAGCTCAGGCAAATCAAGCCATGAAGTTGCGAACTATATACAGAGAGTGATTGCCGCGACATTGTCGTATGAGTGTACCAGCTTTACGAGGAAGGATAAGTATAGAGCACTGGCTGGGAACGATGGCACTGTGGCGGACAAACCTCTGGTCAAGCCAAACAAGGTGATGGGCTGCTGATTCGTATTTTGGCCGCTTCTCTTCCATATAGGATTTTAATTTCCTTTTTTTTTTTTCCTGTTCGCTTTTGTTTGCTAATGATGGTTTCAACTTGGTAGTTTGGATTTCATCGTAAGGAAATGCAAGTGACCAAGAAATGGAATGATATAATAGTAGCCAATATTGCACGAATTAACTAAAAGGTTTGTAAAATAAATGAGTAATGGGAATAAATCAATATATATTTAAATAGAACGAGATATAGCGGTTCTCTAAGCAATAGACATTTTTAAAGACTGCGTTTCTCTTGCCGCTTTGACTTATAAGATTAATCCATTAAAAAATTTGTCCAACATCTAAATCAACGTATCGTTTTGTCATACTCTATGCACGGAGTCTAGCTACATACATAAATATTCAGGTAAAAAGGAAGGTACATACCAAAATATATTACATATAAATTAGTCACGAATTAACTCAATGATGGCCCAACATGCACATCTACAAAGGAAACGATGTCTAAGATCATGTCTAAGATTATTTACTTTATTTTAGTTATCTTTTATTTAATTACGATTTATATTTTAATTATATAAGATTATTTAGATTACTTTATTCTAATTATCATTTTATTGTAGTTTTCATTTTTATTCCTAATTCATTATATGTCTCTCTCATATCTTTTTTCTACCCATTCTCTTTTTCACTTACCCTCTCTATAAGTAAGAGTGTTTTAGAAAAATAAATTATACTACCTCCAGTCCTTAATATAAGATCTTGTTTGAATTTTATTTTGGTCCTAAATATAAGACCCCAATCCATTTTGTCTCTCATATTTATATATTTTTTTCTAAGATAGTCATTCTAATAATAATAGTTCTAACCAATACATTTAATTAGTAAGGATATTTTAGGAAAGATAACACCTATTTATTATAAATAATTAACTTAACTTATTTCATTAATCTCCTCAAATTAATCAACTAGTTTTTATAATTAGGATTAGAGGTGGTATTTTTTTTATGTATTTATTATCTTTAATCAATTTTAACCAACTTTTTAAACTGTATAATTTAATTATTTGATGCTTATATTTTGAAATATAGAGAGTATAATTGAAGAAAATATTATCATCTATATTTTAATAATTTAGTTAGAAGGTTAGAGCCCTACACATAGAACTACAAGTTATATGTTCGTCAAATTTGATTAATTAGAATAAAATTTGAGTTTTTGAGTTGTCTCACTTTACATATATTTCTGCTTCTTCTTTTTTTTTCGCCAGACAAACACACATTTCTTCTACATCACCCTTATTTTCATTTATTTTTTGCCCGTTTCTCCCTCCTCCCTCTCGGTTCATATCCCGGCTAACATGAATGTCCACAGCTAATCGTGGGGCTAATTATAGCCTATATAGTATGCTTATTGATACATTAACTAGAATATGCCCATGTGAATCGAGCCAACACCGTAGCTAACCGATGACGCCAACTGACATATAAACAAATTGAAGATTAACTCATGATTAAGGAGGATTTGATAGAATGGAACCAACTTATCAAATAACCTCTAACAAGATAAGGTTACGATTTAAACTATACATCTGAAAGGTTTGGCCGAAGAAAATAAAGCAAAGAGTTCTGCGGTTTTGCAACCTGCCTAAGGTGCCCAGAGCCCTATTTATCTATGGTTATACTCCTTCGGTCATTAGATTAAAAAAATTAGATAAATTAGTTAATTATAAAAATATTGATATGTTTTTTTTGTAAAATACTATAATTATTTTTCTTAATATCCTTTCCTTCCTCACTTGATTATGATTGAAAGAGTATCTATAGAGAATTTTTTAGAAAAATTAATAAATATAAAAATATATCTTATATTTTAGGATTAAATTACTTAATAATATTAAGGACCAGAGAGCACATTACAAGTCAATTGTATAAGAAGCAAATTTCTAACATCCAGGTCGAAATTTCGTTAAAAATGAGCCCAATTATCGGTCAGTCAACTTATTTGTTCTAAACAAACCAAGCAAAATATTCAGCTGCTACAGATACAAAATTGAACTATGCAAAAGGATATTAACACAACTCGTAATGCGTCTAATAGCTAAAGAAAAAGAACGACGAGATTTTTTTTTCCCCCGAGGAGGGGGCCCCCTGCAAAAACAATACGGTCACCCCTATCCTCAATGCTTATCTCTCCGGAAAGATGAAAAAAACTCGACGGGAAAAACACATTTGGATGACATGAATATACCTATAGCCACTATACAGCAGTGATCACTCCACCAAAATCGCATGTCCCAAGCTTACACGAGTTTAAAAAACCTCAATTTTCATGATCCCCGCCACAAAAGTGGTGCTCGAGAGATTTTAGTTCAAAATGCTTCAAGGCTAAAAGCTTAAGATTATGGATACGGATACGCCGAAGTACTCGTACGAACATTGACAGCTTCTCCATCCTAACTTTCTTACTGCCTTAAGAGAGCTCATTATATTAGCTTTGAACGAGTTGGCTGAGGGTTTTTCTAGTTGGAGATTTTCACTGGCTTCTCAAATGTATGACGATTCTGCAAGATTGAGAGATAATATCATAGGAATCTAAAATTTGTACATAAAATTAATAACATAAGTAACGATATAATATTCTCTCTCTTCATTTTTCTTTTTCATTTCGAGGATCAAGAAGATATGTAATTGAAGTATCATGTCCTATCAATTTTTGGCTGTAAACAGATTTAGGTTAGAGCAATAGTCAGCGAAGACCACACCGAGGACCATCTCAATTCAACCCCATCCAGCTACATAACGATCCACGTAATTGATTATTTTATTTAATCTCTGTGACAATGGATGCTACTCACTTACCCTATATATGTTCTATCCTACCCTACTTTACCAGTAAGAGTCGTATCGACAAGAATTTAATCCCATCCCTTATTAGATAGGTTTAGTCTGAACTCTGAAGAGCAACATATCAC